TTCATTTAACGATCGTCAAGGTCGCGCAGGACCTTCACCCACGAATAAATTTATATGATTTTTATAAACCAAAATTGTGGGAAAGGTGTCGCCTTTTAAACATTATTTTTTTAACTCTCTGAAACATTTTTAGAATTCGAATTCGCTAAGAATTAACAGGAATATTCGCGGATGACTGTTATCTTCCGGGCACATCGTGTGTTACCGTGATACTTAAAGATACTAAAGTTAGAAGTACGTAAACTTTGATTTTGTACCCGAAGCTTTCAGCTCCAGGAGCTTAGTGAATTAAATTGGTTTATAGCGTAGATTCAAGTTACAAGGTAAAAAGTAGGTTATGGGCACTTCAAGATTGCATAGAGAAACAATAATTATTAATGGAAAGTCCAGTGGTATTATAGTGATAACGGGCGGAGTATGGAAAGGTGATGAGAAGCTCTAGTGCGCTGGACTCGGATCGAGCGGTCCTGGTGCGAGGCCTGGCCAGAGTCATTGTGTTTTTCCTGGGCAAGACTCTTCTAGCCTGCGTTGCAGCCGGACGTGTCATAAGATCCCCGATATAGTCCGTCTGTGAAACGGCTCCCAAAAGNTAGGTTATGGGCACTTCAAGATTGCAGAGAGAAACAAATATTAATGGAACGTCCAGTGGTATTATAGTAATAACGGGCGGAGTATGGAAAGGTGATGAGAAGCTCTAGTGCGCTGGACTCGGATAGAGCGGTCCTGGTGCGAGGCCTGGCCGGGGTCATTATGTTTTTCCTGAGCAAGACTCTTCTAGCCCGCATTGAAGCCGGACGTGTCATGAGATCCCCGATATAGTCCGTCTGTGAAACGGCTCCCAAAAAGCTTGTTCTGATATCCCGCACGAATACACGGATCTGTGTATCCGTTTCTGATTGGCTAGTTTCTTACGCGCCTTGTGATTGGTCATATTCTTGCGAAATATATCACGCAATGCTAACAGTAGAGTGACAGGCCTACAAAACTCCTATCCACGTGTATTAATAAATAGCCGCTTTGAAAATTTTCCTCGAACTAGTATATCTCTAAGGATCTGCCCCTTTTGTATGATACGATAGGGGGATCTTTGAATATTTTGCTAAGCGATAATCCTGTGTTTTTAGGAGGACATTTCAAGAGTAGAGCCGTTAGAAGTCATAGGTCTGTGTGGTTTCCGCTGTTATCCGCATGTAATTTGTAAGAGTTTGACACCTCTGTTTTTTTGCCACGTGCTAGTCTTTTTTGGCTCATTTGTGCTGCAGGATATGTTTTAAGCTCTCTAAATGTTAGCTCTGGAGAGACAAAGTTTGAAATATTCCGTGAACATGTTGGTTACTTGAATTTTGTATTATTACGCCGGGCCCGGCTGTGTGATTAACTGTTGCAAGTTAAGCTGCTTCTTATCACGGTTGTCATATTTATCTCTGTCCGGCTTCGCCAGAGAATATGGTCTTCCATAAGCGATCGCAATGGCG